CCAGCCCGTTACCTGGGTCACATAGATCCTGGTGAGCGATGGGTCCTCTGCCCCTCCCTAGGACGTGATAATCCATCAGCCTTCTGGCCTAGTGTGCTGTGCCCACTCCAGTGTCCCCTTCCCTGAGATGTGCAGTCCTGCCTCACGGCTGCCATGGCAATCCTGAGGTGTCAGCGTTAATCAGTGTGGGCATTGCTTGGTCAAGACTCCCAGGGGCCATGGGATAGTCTGTACCATCTCCTGGGCTCTCTGCTCGGGGTTTAAGTCCTGTGCCTTGGCAGGGAGCCCCTGAATCAACAAGCTCTCCCAATCTGCAAACATGCGCCAGCCCCCCGCAAAGCAGCCCATGCTGCCCTTTGACAGGCTGGCTGGGACATGTAGCTTCTTTGGGATACAGTTCTCTTCCTCCTTAGCAGGCTCAGCGTGTCCCCAGTGGAGTGGTGTTGAAGCCCAACCCTAGTCACAGGCCTGGGGGTCTGGAGGGGAGGTCAGGTTTGTGAGGGGCACATTTTGTTATTGCAACAAAGCAGTGTCTGCATTTTGTCCAACCAAGAAAGTTTGGGTGGGGTGGGCCACGTGTGCTGGCTCAGGGGACTGGAGGAGCCCAGGCTTCCACGGCCCAGTCATCAGGCTCCCACCCTTTCCCAGCCAAGGCCATGGCCTCAGGTCCCAGAACTGCCCTGGCCGGGGATCAGTCTTTCCTGGAGCTGGTCATTCTGACTACTGTGTCCTGGTCTGGGCCTCAACTTCCCCTGCGCTCCTGCTGCAGGAGATGAAGTCTGCTTGTGAGCCAGTAGGGACGACCTTGCCTTCACCTTTGACCTTCAACAGCCACTTAAAATTGTCCAGTGTTTAGATTCTGTCCTTCTTGGTGTCCATAATGCTAGCAGAGTCCCTCAGCCTCCTGTCCTGGTCTTCTTATTTCCCAAACACCTGAAAATCACACCACTCAGTGCAAGTCCCTCACGGCATGAGTCTCCTGAGCCAAGCCACCACCAGAGAGGGGCTGACGACCAGACCACCACCTTCTGCCAGAGGCTGTCTCTGATCTGCCCATTTCTAGGTCAGACAGAGGAGATGACCAGGTCCCCACACCCATCTTAGCACTGGCTACCCTGGATCAATCCTGGCATTAACTCTAGCTGCCGGACTCTCCAGAAGCAGACGCTGATGTGGAATTCTGCATACGTGTCCTTTGGGAATCCACACCTGGGTAAGGGGTGGTCAGAAAGCTGAATTGGACTCAGGGAGAAGCCCAGGGCAGGCATGACCTCAGAGACCATGCATGCGTGACCGAGCTGTCCAATCCCACATAGGGCTCACTGGGTCTGTAGTGACAGGGCATGGTCCCAACTGGAGGGAAGGTTCTCTTATTTCACTTCTGCAGCCCAAAGATGCGTCAAATGAGAACCCGGTGGACTTCCCCAGCCACTCCCCTTACAACATTAAATAGACTTCAGATTTGCTCCAAAGCAAACTAGGAGTGAAAACTCTTTATAATAATGATATAGAAATTTCCAGAACGAGGTTTTAACCACACATTATTTTAGCCAGAACATCCTGTGGCCTATATTGGGTACTTGGAAAGATCTCTGCCTGATCAAAGCTGCTTCCTAAGGAGACAACTTATCTTGTGTGACCCACACTTGGGACTCAGAATCTGACACTGATGGTCAGGTGGTCTTCATGGGCAAGTATGGAGAGTAAGATCTGAATGGGCCCCCAGCTCAGGACTCGGAGGAAGGTGATGGAAAGACTCATAGAGCACAGGTGAGCTCACATCCCGGGATGGCCCAGAGTCACCATCACACCTGTGTGTGCAGTTGAAGCACTGCCAAGGTTACAGAGGCCTTTGATCTTGATCTTTGACCTTGGTCTCCCTCACTGGGGGCTGGAGAGGACCATCAGCTGCTCATGGGGGAGAGCTCTGCCTATCTGGATCTGTTCTCTCTCCTGCTGCCCTGCCCCACACTTCCTTGACGGAACTCACTCTGGGACCCTTCTTGTGAGGTCCTCCCTTTGCTCATATGCCCTCTCAAAGCTGCGTCTTTCAGGGCTACAGCTCTGAAATCTCTGCTTCCCTTGGTGGCTTCTGGGCTGGAGGTGGCCATGTGACTCTGTGACTCCCTCTGATCCACACTAGCTCTGGCTCTCTGACATAGTGCTGTGGTCTCTCCAGCGCTAGCCGTAGACAGTAAGGGACGAGAAAGCTTTTGAACTCACTTTGTCATAAAGATCCACCTCCTGCTCAGAGTGCAACCTGAAAACAGGTCCCCCAGTGTGAAATGCATGCTGGGAAACTTCCTGTGCAACCTCTTTAGAGTTCCCCCAGATGCAGAGGCATGTGAACACTCCTGCTTCAGCACCCCATGTCCTGAATGGTGGTGATTTCGTGCATAGATCACCCAAATCACCACATTCCCGTGAGCATCTGTTATTTTTTACTTCTCTGTTTAGGACGCTGACTTGCCTTTGGTCACCTGCTCAACACTGAGCTTCCACTGAGGATGGCAGAGGCAGACAGAGGCTCTCCAGGAAATGACCACCAAGGCCTGGAGGAAAGGGTGGACAAGCTGCCCCCAGAGGTTCCCTCAGGGACCAAGTTTTGTGAATCTAGCAGCATTTGAGGACAGTGAGGGGTCCGTGGAACTGTCATTCCTCAGAGTTTGTGAGAGCGGCAGTGGCAGGGCCCATGCTGCTAGGACACTAGCGAGGGGAAGCTCTCCGGAGCTCAGCAGTTTTCTAAAGCCGATTGGTTTTCTTAGAAGATAGTTAAATGGTAACCAGGGCTGCCTCTGATCAGCATCTGGGGGAGCAACACCCCAGGCCGGGTTCTGTCCAGGGAGGGTCTGATTTGGTGGGCCTGTGGGGGGTGGCTTCTTTTCCTGGAAAGTGGTTAGGATCCTTTTGGTGACCCTGTGTGGTCAGCAGGGTCTGGACTATGACGATCATTTCAAGAAGAACGGACTGAGGATCCAAGGAAGTAACTAGACCTAGGCCACGCTGACCATTCCTCCTCTTCATTTGTTCTTTTCTTGTTAAACCCTTGGCGTGGCTGAGGATGAAGTAGATGTACCATAAAGTAAAGGGAAGGGAAACTCCCCTCACATGGCGATGGCTCCCCAAATGGCTTTTCTCTAGGGGTGGGGGATACTAGTGGGGGTGGCCATCCTTTTATCATGGGGCCTGGGCTGGGGGTGCATAATCTAGGGAAGAATAAGAGGCCGACTCTCACACAGGGAAGGTGAGGTCACTGGGGACTCCTCATCAGATGGAACAGCCTCGTTAGGCTCTTTGTCTTGGGAAAGAAAGAGTACCTGCTTGATTTCAAGGTTGAGTCCTCAAAAGGGGACAGAAATTTTGTCAAATGCATGAGCATCTTCCTAACAATGCAGAAAAGCTTCACTAAGCACACTTGCTTGGGTAACAACGAAACGTCAGCACAGATTCTTTGCAGATTGCTGGCCACTGTCCTCCCCTGGCAGCTGTGGAACCCACCATCCTGCCTGTGCCCCAGGGCCTTGGGCTCAGGTGGGCAAGCACAGGCCTGAGGGTCACAGGAGCCTGTGGTGCAGGTGGGCTCAGTCTCGGGGCACTGTTACGTTGCTCAGGGATGCTAGGCTGAGAGTGGGGAAGGGGAGCTGATCCCCCAGAATGATCACAGGAGTGACTGGGTCAGAGGCACTGCCCTTGCCCAGCATGGAACATGCGTCCACGAAGACTCCCTTCAGCCTACGGATCATCCTGAGGGGGTGGGGGGAGGCTGATTTGAACATGTTAATCCAGCCCCCGTCTGCTTCTTTTTCCACCAAAGCTTCAATATGCATCTGATCTCAGGATATTGGATTTTTCTTTGAGGGAAGAAAGAAATGACTTATCTGGGGAATAAGCCCCAAGTTCCCTCCATGCATTGCACATTCTCTACACTGGGCTAAAATAAGGTTTGCTGATTCTCATGTAAATCTCTAAAGCCTGGGTGTCATCATAGGAGTATTTTATGTGCCAGGTAAGTAGGTTGCATCCCCAGGAAAAAAAAAAAAAAAAGGAAGAAGCAAGAAAGATGAGCGATCGTATCCAAGGAGAAAGAAAACAGCTTCAAATGCTTTAAGTGCCTATAGCTTCTTGATACAGTGGCCAAGAAATACGATTCACTCTGAAAGCAGTCATTCTGGTTTATATTTGGAATTGATCTTGAAGTCTGGCAGATATGTTCTTTTCATGGTTGTCGTCGCTGTATTTCTTTTCCACCTAAGCCTGACAAAATGATGCTTCAGAAGAGCCTCGCAGGTTTCGTTTCTTTCCTGGGTGGCTGGTGCAAGCCAGATGCGAGAATGAGCTCTCCTGCCTGTCGTAAGTGTTCATTGGGTGACTGTTGACCAGATGGGAACCTCCAAGGAGAAGCTTGTTCATGTCTCGCTAGCTCCGAGGAGTGAAAAGTGAGTGTAGCCCACAAAGATTTTGTCAGGATGAATTTACCAGCCTAGAAAGAGCAGAAAGAGGTGTCTTTTCTGATTCTAAAGCTAATGGGGGAATTTCAGAGCTTATCAAGAATCCCCAACAAGAATTGAGGAGAGTTAGAGGGGCTGATTAGCCAATGCCAAATGCACAAAGTGTTAGAGTATCTCCAAATGCCCCTAAATTTTAGCCTGAATATGAAACTTCAAAGTGGGAAGATCTTCTGACCCATTTAATTAACGTTGTTCTATTGATGAGAAAACTGAGACGGTGGTGGATGAAATGACCCACCTTAGAGCAAGCTGGGATTGAGAAAGGCTTACCCTATCACCAATGACAGTAGATTATATTTTCCAAAGGATATATGCAGCCATGTCTCCTCTTCTACCAGCTCTTCTGCAATGTGACCTTGAGATCCCTCCATGAAGACTGCAATCTATTTCTCCCCCTCACCTCTTAAATCTGGATTGATATTGTGACTGCTTTGACCAATGGGCTGAGGCAGAAATAACATTGTGCCATTTCCAATGATCTGACAACTTTGCTTTTGGTTTCTTGGAACATTTATTGTTGATTCACTGTGGCTGTGCACCCAACCACCATACTGTGAAAAATCCAAGCCACATGGAGAAGTCATGCGTAGACAATTCAGTTGACAGCCAGCATTGACTTTTGTCCATCTGGGTGCCCCATCTTGGATGTCCAGCCATTGAACTTTCAGATGAGTGCAGCTCTAGCTGAACCTAGGAGAAAAGCTGAGCTCAGTCAACCTCCTTGCTGTGAGGGTTAATGTTAGCTTAAGGATTTAGATTTTAGGATTATTTGTTAGGCAGTAACATTTAGCTGAAATGTTACTCATAATGCTAATTTAAAAGCTCATGCCTGACTATCACTCTACACTTTTACCAATCGCTCTCCCACTTATTCTGAAATTCGACATTTTTCTAATGGAAGGTCATGACTCATGAGTGGATCATAAGATCATTTAGTGGGTTGCAAAAAGTCAACTCAAAGAGAATTGAATGTGTCAGAGTGCACTGTGCATAAAAAGGATACAAATTATTTTGTGAAATTTTTAGTTCAGTTGCATGTATGCTCTTGATTTGCTGCACCACATAATGTATTTCTCATTGTGGGTTTCAGTAAAGATCGCTAAGAACATGTCAATCTAATTTGACCCTTAGTAGGGCTTCCACAAGCGAATGGCAGTGGGTCGGAGTCTGTTCCAAAATACCACAGACTGGGTGGTTTACAAACAACAGGAATTTATTTCTCACAGTCTGGAGGGTAATAAGGCCAAGATCATGGGGCTGGAAGATTTGGTGTCTGCAGAGGGCATGTTTCCTGGTTCACAGAGAGCAGCCTTCTGTGCCTTCACGTATAGAAAGGGTGAAGGTCTTCATGAGGTCCCTTTAATCCCATCCACGAGTACAGAGAGCCCTCCTAACACCTCCCGCCTCCTACCATCATGTACACATTAGGATTTCAACATATGAATTTGGGGCAATGGTCCACTGAAGGAATGAGGGGACCCAAATCAGAAGGCAGGCGATGTGGCAGCCCTGGGCTCTCTGCACCCTGCATCCCAGGTCCTGGAGTCACTCTGCCTCATTACCATTCCTACCATTTCAGACCCTTCAGGGAAGAGCCACCTTGTCGACCAGGCCACTACAACACTGGCAACACACATGCTTGCTCTGTGTGGCCCCCTGTGCTAAGGACTCTGTGTGGTTGGCTCGTGGGGCTCACGTTAGACTCAGGCCGCTCAGTAGAAATGCCTGCTTTAAGCTGCTTACCTTACAGGTGAGGAAACGAGGCTCCTTGCGGCTGTATGGTTAGACAGCCTCACGCTGGTAGCCGGTTGCAGAGCCGGGACCCAACCATCGTAAGTCGGCCCCCGTCTTAGCCATGATACCATGGCTTCTCTCCCACTCTGGAAAATTCCCGCATGAGAAACCTCACAACCTTCGTTGTTTCCTTGCAGCATTAGCCAACTTCCGAGGCTGGGCCAGGACCTCCCCTGGGACTATCGACGGGGCCTCCTGTCTCCCCAAGGCACTGGGGTGACCCTCAGTGTTGTCATCCTGTCTTGGGCCTGGAGAGGGCCACGCCTTTCCCACTGCCTGGGAGCGAAGGCGCTGCTGGGTGAACCACTTCCCTTCTAGGTAACAAGATGAGAATCTTTACCCGGTGGTGAAGGTTGATGCTGGCAGAAGAGTGGAGATAAGGACCTCGGAGCTCACTTCCTTTCTTCTTGCTTGACTTTCACCTCTCTCCGGGCTGTTTACTTGTCTCCTGGAGTGCTCTGGGGGACAGGAGCAAGAGCCCTGAGGTCAGGGCCTCTCCGTGCCTCCCCCTCCCTGCCTGCAGAAGGAAAAGCTTGAATCGGATCAGTCCTGTGGCTTTAAATTGAGAGAGGGTCCCCCTCAGGGGACATGGGTGATGTCTGGAGTCACACGTGTGAGTGTGGGTGTGCATGTGTGTACACTACTGGTGTCTCAGAGGTGGCCTAGTGATGGTGCTGAGCACTCTATTGTGAACAGGACAGTGCCCACAGCAGAGAAGCCTCCGGCTCCACCCTCAAAGTGGCTGAGACTCTGGAGGATTCTATTAAGACGAACATCCCCACCTACTGAGTACCCACCAAGCACCAGAAAATAAGAAGAAACCAGAGATGAAAGAAACATCTAAACAAAATCCCTACCACCTCCCTCCCCAGACACTGGACTCCAGCGAGGAGCTCAAGTTAGTGGGGAAATCAAGTATACATTTTTCCCCAGAAAGATAAACACCAGAGAGGAGCTAGGTATTCAGGGCTGCGGGGGTTTCTAGAGGGGTCTTAGCCGGTGCCTGGGCACCTTTCTTCTCATCTGGTCCTCTCAGCCCTTTGGTCCTGTCCACCGTCACTTCTTTGGGAAGTCTTTCTTGATCTCCCCAAGGCCCTCACAGCACCGCAGTGATGGGGGGCTTAGCATTTATCCCAGTTTCTCATTTAACGTGTTCATCTGAGGATTGACTTTTGCCTGGCCCTTCTGCCTACACCACCATTCACAATGGCCTCTCCAGCCTGGAGATGACCCTGCAGATCCCATTAGGTCCATTAGGCTCCTCCCACCTAGGGCAGCCAATCAGAAGCCCCATGCCCTGAATTCTCAGGAGTTCACAGTAATGGTGGTCGCTGAGCTCTGGCACAGGGGGTCTTTGCCCTTGGCTATCAGCTCCTGCAGCCTCCTGTCCAGAGGCCTCCTTTCTAGCTCCCATGACCCTTGGTTCTAGTCCCAGCCATCCTGCGAGGGCTGAGACTAGCTTCCTGCTGTCTTGCATCTGGGATTTTGCTCAAAGCGCTGGGCAGGGTTCTCCCTGTTTCTGGTTACACCATCGGCCTCCTTTTGTCTCTGCTCCCAGCCTCTTCTTCCAGGAAGTCTTCCTCTTCTCCCTCTGTGTGGTCACAGCACTGGCTGACAGTGCTTTCCCCCGGTTCAGTGCCTGGCACATTCAAATAACCACCCAGTGGGCAAATTCACTGACCCCAGTTCAGGCTTCAGGCTTTCTCCCCCTCTGTTCCTCGGCTCCTGGTTGAAAAGAGGGGTGGGCTTCTTGGGTGCTGCCTTATGTGGGAAAATTCTCCCACCCCTGAAAAGCAGCTTTCTTTTTTGTTAAAGTCTCCCTGGAGATAAATTTATAATAAAACTTTTTTTTTTAATCCAGAAATGATAAAATTGATGCCATACTCTCATTTCAGTGATATAATGGTGACACAGAGAAGGAGAGTTTAAAAAAATTATGAACATGACCAGGGCAGCTCCTGAGAGACAGGCGATTGCATCACAGGGAGGCGGTGACCGTGACCTGTGGGGTGAAGACACTGTACTGGCCGTGTTACTGCTGCCTAGCACTGATGGTTAATGGTGGGATTAACCGTTCATACTTTCCCTGATGGTTTAGGTGTTGTTAGGGCTCACAGGTCAGTTGTTTCCAGCAGCAGGAGACACAGGCCAAGCTGCCACCTCCCTGCTCCTCTGGGATGTGGTGAGTCTTGGGGAATGTCGGTGGTGGCTTCTGCATGCTGGGCACTGTGAGAGGCTAGAGCGTAACTTAGCCCTGCCCCCGAGGAGCTCCCTAGTTATAGAACAATTAGGATGTAGATATCTGTACCAGGAATCCTAGAAAGTCAGGCAGGAATGCTAAGAAACTAGAACAGATGTGGAAATTTCAAAACCAGGGAGAGAAATTCCGCCTGAAATGTAGAGAATGTGGAAGAGAATGTCTCACTTGGGTCTTGAAGAAGAACAATTGTTCGTGTAACTATTATTCATTCATGAGTTCAAGGAGATATTAATCCAGGTAGAGGGACTGGCCTGAGGAAATGTCCAGAGGTAGAAACATGAGGTATAAAAACTTTTTTTTCCTATATTTTCTTCTAGCAGATTAGCAACTTAGGTTTTGCATTCAGGTTCATGATCCATTTTGAGTTAATTTTTATATATGGTATGAGGTGTGGATTGAAGTTATTTTTTCCAGCATCATTAACTGTATCAGGTTTTCTCATCATCCAATGGGTGATAGGCTTTTTATATAGAATATAGTTATCCATATAGTTAGGTTTAAATTTATCATATTTCTATTTTATTTTTCTACTTGTCCAATCTGATGTTCCTCTTTTCCTTTGATTATGCCTGACTTTGGATCAGTTGTGTATTGTTTGTGATTATATTTTTATCTCCTGGGTTGGATTATTAGCTGTAACTCTTTGTTTTATAGTTTTTGTGTTTTTTGAAACTTATCAAGTCAACCTTGAAGTGACACTTTGAGTATAAGAACTTTACAACGGCATACTTAAGTTTTCTTCCTTCCTGAACCTTTGAAATTTTCATTGTTCTCTATTTTGTTTTTCATGATATAGACCCCATATTACATTGCCGTTATCTTTGTTTAAGTTATAAACTATTTGTAAAAGATTTTTTAATAATAGGAAAAACATCATACACTTTCCACGTATTTACCATTTCTGTTGCTCTGTGTTATTTGTTTGAATCCATATTTCCATTTAATCATTTTTCCTTCTACCTGAAGGACTTACTTTAGCGTTTGTTGTGTAGAAACTTTCTGAAGACAAATGTTTTCAGCTTTTGTGTGTCTGCCAAACTCTTATTTCCCCTTTGTCTTGGAAGATAGTTTTGCTGGTTATAGAACTCAAGGTTGGCGGATATTTTTTCTTTCCAGTATTTTAAAGCTGCATTGTCTTCTAGCCTGCATTGTTTCTGACAAGAAATGTGGTATCATCCTTATTTTTAGTCCTCTGTTTGTAAAGTTTTTCTCTTTCCACTTCAAGATTTCTCTTTATTATCATTGATTTTGAGTAATCCCATGATGTGTAGTTTTACTTATGTTTCTTGTGCTTGGAGTTCAATTGATTCCCTTTCATCTTTGGTTTTCATTTCTCATCAACCTTGGAAAAACATTTCAGCCAATGTTTTGGCAAATATTTTTTTCCAACCTGTCTCCTCATCTTTTGGGACTCCCATTTCATGTATTTTAGGCCCCTCGAAGTCGTCACAACTCACTGGTGCTTTGTTCATTAATATTTCTCTCTGCACTTCATTTTTGATAAATTCTCCTTCATGTTCTGAAATCCATTTTTTTTTTCTTTTCTAGTGTCTAATCTGTTGTTAGAATCATATAGGAAATTTCTTTCTTTGGCATTGTAGTTTTCATTTACTAAAGATTCTATTTTAGCTTTTTATTGGTTATATCTCTCTGCTTCTTTGTAGATATATCTTTTTATATTCTCAAGCTATGTTACGTAGCATAGTCAATTCATGTGAAAACAATTTGATCTTTTTAAACCTTACTTTTAAGTTTTGTTAGGTAAGACAACAGTAGTGTTCAGTCTAAGACAAATTATTTTCCTTTACTGAACCCACAGCTTCCTGGTTGCTCTAGGACATAGGGATGGATTATGGTCTCCCCAGCCTGGTGGGTGGGAATGGGGACTGCTCCTTGCCCTGTGTGAGCACCGGACATCTTCTCTTGAGTCCCACTGGGTCGTTGTTTGCCCAGTCTTGGGTAATCTCTTACACGCATGTTCTAGTCAGACTGAGCTGCATACGGGGGGCACCTTCTCAGCTCCCTGGAGTTTCTCGGTACTCTGTTCTGTAACCGTCCACTCCATCCTCCTCCCTCCCCTGCAGCTCCATCTCTGCACCCTTCCTGAAAACTCTCCAGGCAGTCAGTAACCCAGGACAGTTGTAAAGCTCGCTTCCTCTGTTCCTGCCTCACTGGGGTCACGGTCGGTCGCCTGATGATGAGTGTCTTGAAAACTCTTGTGATACAAATATGTATCATAAAATAAAGTCTCCCCTGCTATTTTGATTGTTTGAGGCAGCATAGAAAAATCTGGTCCCTGTCCTCTGTCTTGGTTGGAGGGAAATTCCCCCCGAATGTCTTTCTCTCCAGAGAAACCAATCTGTCCATTCTCGGGTCCCCCTTGGGACTCCCTGGCTGTGATAGTTCAGCCTCTTCTGTCTTTCATTAGGAGTGTGTGGCGACTTCCCGTACGGGTGTCTCCGTCTCTAACCCAGTACCTCTCCAGTCCATTCTTGTGAATAAAGCGGTTGTTCTTGCTTACAGAAAGGTCTGGCTTTTCCCTTAGCACCTTGGAGAGGACAGGTAAGACCCCAGATGGCTGTACCTCAGAGGAGTGTTCCTCTTGCCTGTGGGCTTTGAGGTCCTCCAACCGTGTGACTTAGGGTGAGGGTTTGGGGTCACGTGGTATCAAATGGATCCAGCTTGACCTCTGGAGGGGTTGGGGACTGAGGCCAGCCAGGCATGTAGCCAAACGAGTTTATGAGATTCAGCCCTAGGAAAGACTCAGGCTGTATGAATACGTAACAATGAACCCCATCATTACACACAAGAATAATGAACCAATAAAAATACGGAGGAAAACCACTCAGGATATCCAGGCTTGGGTGAGCGTCAGTGGTCGTCAGTATTCCATGTATATTGTCACATACTGGCACCAGGAAAGTGGTGCTGTCCACAACTCCACCGCAAAAGACGATCAGAAAACCTGCATTTGGAACTTTCCCAGACTCTGCCCCTTGTGGCTCCTCCTTTGGCTGATTTTAATGAACTCTTCAGCTGTAATAAAACCTCGTTATGAACAAGGCAGTTTCCCATGTATCCTGAGAGTCCTTCTAGGACATTACAGAAACTAAGAAGAGTGTCAGAAGGAAGGGTAGTCTCACGGACTCTTCCTCTCACTTTGCTCCCATTTCCAT